GCAGCAACTGCAGCATCAGCAGCTTAAGTCGCTGCAACCGAAGCTCCCGACACAGCAGCAGCAAGCCCTTAATGCCGCTTTTCTTGCTGCACGGTCAACACAGCAGCAGCTTCTGCAGCGCTGCTGGTTGATGCTGCTGCGAGAGTCTTTCAGCAGGTTGGGGAAGTGTTCCGAAGCAGCAGCAGCTGCTGCTGCACCTTTGCTACTGCAGATAAAAGTGCCTCGGATTTTCCAGTCTGCTGCTACTGTACAGAGCGCAACACTGGAGTTGACGAGGCTCCAGCTGCTGCTGCAGCAGCAGTCGCAAGCATTCGTGCCTCTGTTCAGCTGCAGCAGCAACAGTCGCCCCCAGCGAGCTGTTGCTGCTGCGTTTGCGACTATTATTGCTAAGAAGCAGCAGCGTTCTGTGAACAAGAGCGAAACAGCTCATGAGCATCAAACGCCCGATTTTGAGGCAGCAGCAGCAGCAGCAGCAGAAGATGCAGCGGCAGATAACTCGTCCCATGCAGTCGAGACCACGCACGAGACAGCACAGGATATAAGGACTCCTCGCGCAGCAACAGCAGCAGCAGCCGCAGGAACAGCAGCAGTAGCTGCTTTTGGAACTGCGGTGGCAGTGGTGCTGCTGGCAGCAGAACTGTGGGGGTCGGCTCTTCTTACTTTGCAAAAGCAGGAAAAGCGGCGGCGGCAGCAGCAGCAGCAACAACTGTACTCGAGCCACAGCAGCTCTTTCAGAGGGCTTGAAGGCTCTGAAGCAGCGCTGCAGCGCACTTGTGTGGTTGCTGCCGCAGCTGCTGCAGCTGCTTTCAGAGATGGTACGTTTCTTCTGCTGCAGCAGCCGCAGCAGCAACTGCTGCAGGTGACTACACAGGGTATGCCTTGGGCCGCGGCGTGGCTGTGGGCGGGAATTGTTGCTGCTGCAGTGACTGTGACTGCTGCTGCTGCAAAGGGGCCGCTTCACTTGCAATCTTGCTGCTGCGGCCGACCAAGTGAAGCAGCAGCAGCTGCTGCACCAACAGGAAATGGCTGGGACTGGCTGCGGGCGTGTTGGATATCCGGGGCGCAGCGAGCGCTGCAGCAGCAGCAGCAGGCGTGCGCGGAAGGCGAATGTCTGCTGCTGCTGCTGCAGCAGCAAATCCCAGCAGCAGCAATGATACCCACGTTTTCTAGCGCTGCCCTCGACAGCCCCGTAGGTCCTTCTCCGGATTTGCTGTTGCGCATTGCTGGCCAAACAAGTTGTGCTGCCGCTGCAGCTTACGGGCCGCTTGTGT